CGGACACCGGGAACTGTCAGTAAAGTGGTCCGGTTACTCTCTGTGGGTCTCTTCTCCTCGGATCTCAGCGGGAACTTGGGGGACGACCCCCCTCTCTGGCCCGCGACTCTCTCCAGACACACCCAGGCCTCTGCTTGCTGGGCCAGGAGCAGAGCTCAGGCCGGAACCCTCTGTTTTTAAACACGTTTTTATTCTCTGAAGCGAAGCCCGGAGCCGCCCGCTGGCGGGGAATATGGATCACGTTCGGACACGAAGGACCAGCCTTCCCCCACCCCCCCCCTTCCTCAGCCTGGGCCCTCCCTCCTCCTCCTCCTCCTCCTCCCTCTGCAGCAGGGGCGTGACTGGGCCTGCTTCTCTCTGCCCACTCCTCGGCCTCCAGTCCCTCTGTCCATGTGCCCAGCTGTGTCTCCGAGTCCAGACTGTCCCCCTCCGTGCCCCGCAGCCCGCTCCGACACGTGGTCGCACGCTCACTCACGTGTGCACGGATGTGGTGCAGTCCCAACATGTGGCTTTCCCGGTCTGCTGAATTATGGAACCGATTCCTGCACCCTCCAGTGGCCCGAGGGCTGGAGATCAGGTCATTAATGGTCCCGCAGCGCAGAGGCCCGACCCAGTGTGGTGGAAGAGTTGTGGTTGACCGGTCCTGCAGGGCCTGATGCAGACGCTCTGGCAGGAGGCTGTTATTTACACTACAGGTGGTGTGGAAGGAGTCGGGTTGGCTGGTTTTTGGAAGGGGGGGTGGGTGTTGTTTCCTTCGACGTGATGAGTGCCTTCCTCCTCTGTGCCCATCTAGGTCACGATTTCCAATCTTGATGGAATACAGTGTATGAATATCCCGAATGTGTGAGGGGCAGGAACTTAATTAAATCTGTCACAGATCACAGAGAGACTGGGGCTCCTTTACAGCTCTCTGTCTGTCCCAGACTGGCAGTGAGATAATTATCCTGACTCTATAAGGGCTGTGTCTCTACCTGTAACACTGACACAGATCACAGTGAGACTGGGGCTCCTTTACAGCTCTCTGTCTGTCCCAGACTGGCAGTGAGATTAATATCCTGACTCTATAAGGGCTGTGTCTCTACCTGTAACACTGACACAGATCACAGTGCGACTGGGGCTCCTGTAAAGCTCTCTCAGAGCTCAGTGTGTCTGTCTGCTGAATGATTTGGGGAGAGTGGGTCCCGTGTGTAAAGCGCGCACACGCGGCGCTGGGGAGGTGCGTGTGTGATAATGTACAGTACTGCCCCCCCGTTTCCCTAGGTTCTTCTCATTGGTGCAGGAGAAGGGATGGCAGCATCGTGCGAAGGGAGGTCACAGCCGAGAGGAGGCCCTCTGGCCTGTCTCGCTCGGCCCTCTGTGCCTTGGCGGAAGACAAGGAGCAATTCGGACTTTCAGAGAGATTCTTACCGCTGTTGTCGATGAATGTAGTGCCCTCAGTGCAGGGGAAGGGGGGGTCTCTTCCTGTGGCCGGGTACACGCGTGTATATGAAGATGTGCGTCTGTGAGCTTCAGCGGGTCATCAGGTCAGGTGTTCACAGTCGCCGGGCCGAAGCTGTGGAAGACCACCTGCCCTCCCGAGGACGCGTCTCCCACCCTTCAGGCTCCCGCAAGAAGAGGGGAGCGCCGCGTTCCCAGTCCTGCTCCGGGGGTTCCCACACGGGCTTCTGATCCGCCCGCGTGCTCAGTTAAAATCATCAGACGTCTAACGCACCTCCGCCTGGTCTCGCGAACACGCAGGGTCGGACAGCTTGAGTGGCCTGGGCGGCCCTCTGCCCTTGGAGCTGAAGGACAGCCAGCTGGCCGGCTGCTCCGGTCCGGGATCTGCGGGAGGTAGAGAGAGAGCCGGGCGCGGAGCCCCAGGACCTGGATTGGGAACTGCGGCGGGGCGGAGGCTGGGGAGTTGTGTGGGTTTTAGTCTCGAGATCCGGTTTCTCTCGGCGCTGGGCCTGGTGTGATCATGGCACTGAGGGGAACAGGCACCGGTACCCCTTTCCTTCAGCCCGGCTTGGGCCTGAGAGGCCTGTAGGTGGCGCTCTCTCCCTGCTGGAGGGCTGTTCTTATAGCCAGAGGGGCGAAGACTTCAGAATTTGTTAATTGATCTAGTTCACTAATTGTGTGTCCTGGGTGCTGTGAAATCCAGGGGCAGTGACCAAGCGTCGTCGTCCCCCCCATCCTTTACAGAGTATTCTCTTCAGGCAGGGGCTAACGATCACCTTCATCTTCGAGACTCATTAAGATACTAATGGAAAGCTGCACCAGAATGGTTTGGGCTAGATTTATACTACTAATTACCCGCAGAGAGGATAAACCGGGACTCTGGGGGATGTGTCCCGGCGCAGCTCCAGCTGATCTCGGGGTTCGGGGCTCGTCCATCTCCCTCGGGACGAAGACGACAGGAATAGAATGAGTTTTTTTTTTTTAGATTCTCCAGACTGGCAGCTGGTCTTACAGATTTTCCTCTTTGTTTACAGAAGCTTTGGCGACGATGATTATGCAGATACTTTTTGTACACGAAAGGCTTGACCCCTTCAACCCCCCCCCATCCCCAACAGGACACTGCTGCTCCTCTAAAAGCCGTCTCGTCCTGAGTGGGCCCTGCCGCGCGCAGGGACTCTGTACAGAGCACAACTCCAAGCACAAGGCCGAGCATGCACAAACACTAAGGGGTCTGGGGCTTGGACCAGAAAGGCTAGCCTGCATTAGGTGTGCAACAGGCTGTTGGCCTTTGAGTTTTGACAGGAAAAGCAAATGAACACATGCGTGACAGCTGGACTCCTATTGAGCAGCAGTCTGATCCATCCCACTGTCAATCAAAGCCTTGCAGCTGGTGGTATAACCTGGAGTGGATCTGACTCTTGTGTACCAGGAGCCTGACTGAAAGCACTGTAAAACCTGGAGTGGATCTGGCTCAAAACACTAGTACCCGGTGTAGATCTAACTGTTGTGCATTGTGGGTCTGACCGAGAGCACTGAAAAACCAGGAGTGGATCTGACTGCTGTGCCCTGGGAACACTAAATTCTGGAGTGGAACAGACTGCTGTCCAATAGGAGCCTAAAATGCCCCTAATTGTTGAATCTCCTTGTCTTCTGTTCTTCTTTAGCTCTTAGGGCTTTTAATTGATTGGGCAATTTAATTGTCCTGGACTCTGCAGTTTTCTTCATGCTCTGTTGAAGGTTTGTGTGAAGGGCAGACTAAAACCAGAGACGTCAAGCTGTTGAGCTGGTCAGCTAATGACTTAAACCTGCGCGTTCTGCCAGAGACGACAGGGCTGGCCTGGCCCCATCTGAAACCAGGTCTTTCACTACCTTCCTGGGGGTAATTAAACCTCTCCTATCCTGGTTCACTACTGACAGCCCAGCCTTCAGCCTTGTGTTTGGGAGGTGGTATCGGAGAAGGGCCGACGCCTCATGTCTCCGACGTGTGCGATGATGCGATCCCGGAATCCTGGCCCGGATTCTGCTTCCTCCGGGTCAGAACCACGAGCTCATTCCATTAAACCAACTGAAGCTTATTGAACAAACTCAGCTTTTCTGTATCTGCTGTTTGCTGTTGTAGTTCGGTCTCTACATGCTGTTAATATTGACGGAGCTGGCAGCTGTCCCGAAGGTGTGTTGTACACAATTCAAGGGCTCAGAAGGACGATGTTTTTAACTTTTGTGACTTTGCATCATCCCGTAAATCCTGTTCTAATAATTAATATTGTAATTAATTAACCTCTTGCTGCTTTTACATTGCTCTATGGTTCTGGTCAAAGAACTGGAAATGTGATCTTTACCGTTTGTACACTTTTTTGTTTTGTTTTTTATAATGGTTACCATCTTTTAAAAGACTATTGTGTCTCTTAATTATACCTGTATGTAACTGTATATATCTGTCACAGAAAGGCCTTCTTTGCTTGTGATACTCTGCTTGTTTCTACAGCGTTTCAGTGATCTGGTCTCTTCAGTTCTCAGATTTGAAATAAAAACGTGCTTTTTTTGCCGTGACCTGAATCTGTTGGTTTTTTTGGGCCAATATAGATTCATGAAAAATGGGGGGAGGGTGGAATGCCAGTTTGCAGTGCTGCCTCCATTCTGGGTTTGGATCGGGCCTGGGGCAGTGGTCTTCTGTGTGGAGTTTGCATGTCCTTCACCATGTGGGTGAGGGTTTCCTCCCCCACAGCCCGAAGATATGGGGCCACAGGACTGGTGGTCCCCCAGCTTCCACCTACACAGCTGGGGTACAGGGGTCCCCTGACCCACAGGAGGGCCAGGTCAGTGTGTGTCTGCAGGTTTT